ACCCCAGGACTCCTTTCTTACCCCTGGTGTTGCTCGTCTGGTGTCCTGAGCTGCTTTTCGCTGGTTCTGCTGCTCAGCTCATCCTTCCACCCTGTTACTGTACTGGCTTCTCTTTCATCTCTCTGTTCTCTGCAGCCTCCTTCAATGAGGGAAGTGAATATTTGTCCCACAGTTTCCTTTGTAGGGAAACTACTCTTCTCCCCCCCCCACCCCAAATCCCAAGGAGAAGTAAGAGGAAGCTGCATTTGAAAATGTGCACCTGCCCTGACACTCTCCCCTTGTGAGAACTTGTGCTTTGCCTTTGGTTGTGCACATTTATTCCTTTTTCACCGAACATAGGATTAAAAGATGCCTGGCGAGTTCAAAAATGACCCCCCTTCTCCACATCCTTTCCCACAGCCCTTTTAAAAATCCCTCTCATGTCTGAATACTCACTGTCATAAACACATAATTAGAAAGAAAAATTCATTGGAAGCTCCTCTTTGTCCCTTCACAAATGTCATGGAGAATATTATTGTTGCTAGTGCTATTTGTTGAGTTGGTGGGTGTCAACTAAATGAATACTGTATGAATATGCAAATGATGCATTTTAAGAATGCCAGTGGACCTGTGGCTCATACCTAGCTACTCAGGAGGCTGAAATCTGAGGATCCTAGTTCAAAGACATCTCAGGCAGACAAAATTATGAGACTCTTATTTCCAATTAACCATCAAAAAGTTGGAAGTGAAGATGTGACTCAACTGATAGAGGACCACCCTTGAGTGATAAAGTTAATTAAGAATTTGAGGCCCTGAGTTCAAGCCCCAGTACCAGCACATGCACCGGCACGTGCACACACACACACACACCACCACACCACCACCACACTGTACCTGTCTGATGGGAAGGCTAAAAAGGACACAGGTGGTTCTTTGGACCCCTAGAGCTCAGTCATCGTGTGGGTTTTATAAAGCCCTCCAGAGAGCATAGATCCCATCTTCATTCCTGGACAAGGGACAGTGCTTGCTCTGCTTTGGCTCTTCAAGCATCTTTAATTTTTGTTTCCCTTATTTAAAAAGTTAGAACACTGACCTCATTGCAAACCGATCCCATAGAGATCCTTAGGAACTCCATCCCAAAGTTTAGACCCTAACACTGTTGGTCAAAGTTTGGGGGAGGTGACCTGTGTAGAGACGGAAGCCGTTTTTGTGCTAGTTCTAAATTGATTTCCTCCATCATTGAAACATACACATATCATACCAGTGAGACATGCTGCATTGTAACCTAGCATGTGTCACACATACATTCTCTCTCTCTCACACACACCCTTGCTCTTCTTGTCTGGCATGAAGAGAGAACGGAGGCAGCCGGAAAGCCAAGCCCAGTGATTTGAGTTGAAATGGAGCTGTTAGAGTTTAAAAACCAAGTGTCCCTTCTAGTTCTTCAGCCTGGCTTTGAGACGTGTGGGAGGGCTTCAAAGCCACAGTGCCTCTCTTTTAGGCTCAGGCTTACAGTTGGTCCCCAAATGTTTACCAGCATGAAGATGCCTAACTTGCAGGAAGTGGGAAATGGGTGTGGGGGTGAGGGTGGGTGGCTGGGTAGGGAGTAGGGAGGAGAGGGTGTGGGGGGGGGGAGTTCTCTTGATGTGGTTAGCCTGTCATTGACCTTGTTTGGGTATAGCAGGAGTTTGAATTAGAAAATGAAAACACATTTCATCTTGAGTATATTTTATCCCATTTTTTACTTTCCTTAGGGAAAAAAAAAAAAAAGAATGTGTGTCTGTGGCTGTGTGTGTGCGCGCATGCACGTGTGGTTCCCGGCAAGTGGAGTCAGGTCTCCAGATTTGTACTCAGTTTCCCTTCCTGCCACAGGAGTCCTTTTCCCCCCAGTGCAGTCATCTGGCTGCCTACATGGCCATTCCCAACCCACCCAAGTGCTGGGAGGGGAAAAAATGGAAAGAAAAAGAAACAATCTGCATCAGTAGCTGAAGCTGACTTAAGGTGGGCGTGAGGAACTGCTGTGATGATGCCCTCAAAGAGAAGACTAGATCAGGATTGCTACCAAATTTGAGAATTCTGCCTAACGCTGCTTAATTTAGATAACTGATGAGGATTATTTAAACCGTGAGGAAAAGGGGGGACAATACAGGAACTAAAACTGCACCAAGGTATTACTTAGAACAAACATTTTGAGACTTTGGATCGCAGATACTGGCAGCACCACACAGATCTGTCCGGGCAGTATAGTGGTGCCGTCATCTCCAGCTTTAGTCAGCCTTCTAGAAGAGCTTCTACTTGGGCCTTCTGGAAAAGTCAGTGAAGTTCACAAGGTCAGGCCTTTTCCTTGCCCTATAGCTCTTCAAACTGGGTGATACCTACATATTACAACAGAAGTCTGCTTCCTTACTTCCAATCCTTCTTCCTTTTCTGTGTCCTGCATTTTAAATGATATTGTTGCCTATCTTTCACTGTTCTGATCATAATCAAAAGTCGGCTGGGAGTTGTTGTTGTTGTTTTTCCCCCACTTTGACACACATCAGAAAGCAACCATTTGAGGGTTCTTCTGTTCCAGCAGTGCCTCCCAATCTACTTTCCTCAAAGTCCCTCCCATGGCCTGGCCCAGCTCAGCTGGAGCACCTGGAATTAATTTTAGGGTTGCCTGGCTAAGACCCACACTGGTATTTGATGTTTGCGTCCTCTGTAGACTCAAGCCCATTTCACCACCTCTGAAGGTGAGTGCAGGCTGATATTAATTAACAGTGAGTTCACTCACTGGCATCTTCTAGTCATTAAAGAAAATATTTGGCTGAAAATAGCTCTCTTCCCACCTTGACTATCAGCCTTTCTTTTTCTTTTTCTTTTGTCTTTTGTCTGTTCCTCACTCCATCCTGGCTGAGTCACCAGCTTTTGCTGGTGCAAGAACAGAGTTTGATTCTGAAAGGGAAGTGAAATACTTGGTAACTGATCTGTCGGAGATTGTGAGCAGCAGCAGCAGCAGCAGCAGCAGCAGTAGCCCAGCCTGCAGTATGACTATGTTGTTTTTCTGTCCATTGGGGCACTGACTCAGCATCAGTTAATAAACCCTCTCCAGAAGACTGGATTTCTCCTGTTTAATTATCATCTCGAAGCTTTCAAAGAGCTCTTAAGAATTGTTCATTTAGTTTTATACCCCTGGCACATCAGCCAACTAAATGCCCTCTTTCTTCTGGATGCTAGCGTCCCCTCTGGAACAACGTGCAATAGCAGGTGGCCCAATACTAAAAAGGGTGTGTGTGTGTGTGTGTGTGTGTGTGTGTGTGTTACTTTTGTCCCCTAGTGGGAACTTTAATTGTGTGCTACAGAGTTTGTAGAAGAGCTTTAGACACACATGCCATTTTGTAGCTTATAATCTTTGACCTTTCACCTTCCTTTCTCCCCTCCAAAAAAATATTCTAGAAAAGTTTCCTGAAAGAAATTTTAAAGATAAACAGACGTGCTTTTATGATGGAGTCTGGGCTTTTGTTTTGCTTTGTTTCATTTCTTCCTGTAAACAAATACCCAAATGTCCACTTCATTGTATGACTAAGCTGGTATCATTAAGTCAGGACTGGGTGTGTGGATGTGGGGGTGGATGTGTGTGGGGGTGGGTGTGTATGCACACGGGTATTTTAAGTGCTAGACAAAGATACTGCCATCTCAGTTGGAAGGAGAGATGATTTTTTAATTGTATTATTATTTTTTAAGTCATTTTTGTTTAACCCAGGAGTTTCAACAAGTGAGATTACGAGTACAATACATTTGGATCAGTGCCGCCCTTCCATCGTTCTCTCCCATCTTTCCCAATCGAGAGATGGCTCTTCTTAAAACTACCTAGGAAGAAAGAAGGGGGAAAGGGGAAAGACTTTTGTTGAGGGGGGAGGTGGGAGGAGGCTATCTGAGGAGTAACTGGGAAGGGGTGCTAGCTCCAAATGGACCCTTGACATCATGGTCGCCCTGAATTAGAGGGTCCCTCGCTGAGGGCGCGGAGACCACTGGAGGAAGTAAAGCATCTGGTTTGTTTTGTAAGGAGAAGCAGGAATGCAAGGTCCGCGCACTTAATAATAAACAAACAGGACGCTGTATGCCATCATCACAGGATGTCCTTCCTTCACCACAGCACCGGGGCTGGAGGAAAAGCCAGCCAGGCTCAGGACGACGGCCTCAGACCGCCTTCCACTCGCACGAGCCCCCCTTAGCTACCGCTCCAACCCCCCAGTTTACTTCCACGTACCTCCCGAGCCCGCCCGCGGGCTTGGAGAGGAGGAGCCCGGAGCCTCGCGCTCCATCGATCTGATTATTACCCTCTTCTCTTCGCCTGCAACCCAGTCGGTTGCACCCCCAAATTGTAGCCAAGCGGGAGAAATGAAGTGTTCTAAGTGTGTGTGTGGGGGGGGGGCGCACGGGGCGGGGTGGGGTGGAGGGAGGAGGGCTACCTGGCATCCCAGGAGATCCCCCCCCCACAGCCATCTCCCTGGAACCTCTCCAGGGAAGTTTCTCGGTCTCCTGTCACCGCGGCGGGAGCCATCGGATGATTTTTAAGTTGAGTTTTTTTAGATTTTTCCTTACTGAAGCGCGCGTCCTCATCTCCCCCCCACCCCCTGCGCGCGCGCGCGCACACACACACACACACACACACACACACACTCACTTTATTCTACACGACCGGAAGCAGAGCGGTCTGCAGCATTTAGAATACAATGCAACCCAAAGCCAAACTCGGAGGGCTTAGAAAGGGAAGTAGGAAGGTTCCTCGTAAATGTTGAAATGTCTCTCTACGAGAAGGGAGGAAGCGCGGCGGCTCTCGCAATACGAGGGAAGGAGGGAGGGGGGAGGCGGGAGCCCTGCGCGCGCGGCGGCGGCGGCGGCGCGCCCCAGCCCGGCCCGGCCCGGCCCGGCCCACCCCGGGCAGCCCAGGTACAAGGCCACGCCCCCACCCCTGGCAGCCGGTGGGAGTGTACGAGACGAGTGGTTAATCTGCAGCTGGATGGGAGGGGAAAGCCGCCGGTCTGGTTAACACAGACGGAGCCGCGGCGGGTGAGACACTCGCTGGGCCCTCCAGTGTCGCGGAGAGGCAAGCGCAGCGCGCAGCACCTGTGCGCCCACAAGTCAGCCCGGGGACCGGCCGAGCTCCCGAGCTGCGGTAGAAAAGGGGAGCGAGCGGCCGAGGCGTGCGACGGCCACTCACCGCTGCGCCCGTTCGGAGACGCGGGGAGAAATGCGGACGGGGTAGACATGAGCCGGACTTACCTCCGATGTTGGATCTTTGCTTGGAAAAGCGTGTGGGTACGACCTTGGTAAGGAACCCGATTTTATTTGATTTGATCTGGAAACCAAAATCGATCTGGAAACTTCTTTTTTTTTTTTCCTTCAATTTTTCTTTCTTATCACGTAGTCTCAATAAAAGCAAGAGACACTCGGGTGCGCGTGAGGCTGTCAAACATTTAGAAGACTTTTTCCTTATGAATCAGTAACCCTTTCGCTTCTGCACACACTAGGCGATTCGTTGAAATTTCAGTAGTTGCTCCTGCCTACACCCCCACCACCAACAGCAACAAAGTACCCACGCTGGGCGGGCTTCGGCTCTCCGGGTTTCATTGTATTTCCATTTTTATTTGGCAGCGTGACTGCTCCATACACGTTAGAAGGAAATTACAATGTGCAAATGGACACGGAGCATTTTTTTTTTAAGAAAAAGATCCTCTTTAGCGACCCAGGGAAAAAGCGTAAAACTCAGCCCGAAGCTTCTCCGCGACGCACGCTCCCGATTCCCCGTGGAAAGCGGACGCGCGCGGTCCTCACTTTTCCACCGACGCGCCTGTGCCGGGAATGCGTTAAAGACATTGTTTACCTCGATTTTTCTCTTTGGAAAGCACTCCCACCCCCCCCTTCCCATAGCCCTAGGAGCGAGGATAGAAAATCGGGCATATTCTTCGCCATGTGTGTACGTGGGCTTATCCTGGGAGTCTTGGGCGTTGGTTAATAACTTTAGTTACAGTCCACGGGAGCCCAAGCTTGGGCTTCTGGGAATCTGCACACTTTCAGATTTAAATGGAAAGTGCTCATTTGTAGCTGAGGCTTCCGAAAGGAATTCCCTTCGGGGAATTCTATTGACTAGTTTCATATATTGTTCTGATTGATTGATTGATTGATTGATTCTCTCCCTCCCCCCAAATTTGGCTTTGAGAGATACCCACAGATCCCAAAGAAAGTTAGGGGATGTTTCCATTTCTCTTTCTTATTCTTTTTCGTCTGTGGTCCAAAGAAGCTAGCTGGGAGAGGCTGGTAACTTAGGTCCGGGATGCTGGCCAGACGCACCCCTCTCCGTCTGTCTTCCACGCGGAGGACGCTGGCGGGGGGGGGGAGGGGGGGAGGGAAGGGAGGGGGGCAGTTGTTTTGAAAGTTGGTTCAGAGTTGGGAGCCGGTGGGAAAGTTCGGTCTTCCCCTTTTGGAAAAAGGCTGGCTGGGTTCCGCTCCTGCACCACACGCGCTTTCCATTTTTAGCTTCATTCAGAGGCAGACGGAGCTCCTTCCTCTTCCTCCCCTTGTTTGTGACACTTTTCGGAGGCAGCTTTTCCACGGCGGGGCTGAGGGGCTGGCGGCCATGACCCCGGGCCGTCCGGGACGCAGGGCGGCAGCAGCAGCGCCCACCACATTTTTCTGCCGTGAGAGGTGAAGGCCGAGATTGTTCCAGGGTACTTCTCCCTCCAACGAGCCTGTCACCTTCTTCTCCAAACCCCCTCACTCACCCCCCGCTTTTTGAATGCAGGGGATCATTTTCTTTTTTTTCTCTTGTTAAGAACTTTGCTTCTTCAAGCCAGCCGGCTTTACGCGGGGGGTTTGGGGGGGGGGGGCTCTTACTCAACTGTACCAAGTGCACCACATCTGCTTTTCAAGTCTTCGTCACAGGCTCGCGCAGGGAGCTGCGGGGATCGGCAGGATCGTGGGCAGGAGCATTAAAAAAAAAAAAGACAAAAAGCCTTCTCCCTTCTCTTTCCAGGCTGCCCCCAAGTGTAGCTCCAGTGCTGTGAAGGTTCCAGAGTTGGCAGAGGAGACCGAGAAGACCATGAAAATGGACATGAAGGACGCGGACATGACTCAGTGGACAGAGGCTGAGTTTGAACTGAACTGTACCTACATTGTCAACGATCACCCCTGGGATTCGGGCTCTGATGGGGGGACCCCGGTGCAGGCAGAGGCCTCCTTACCCAGGAATCTGCTTTTCAAGTATGCCACGGACAGCAAAGAGGTAAGCCTCTAGGTTGATTGATGGCTGAGCTACACTGGCACCTGGCGCCCAGTCTCCCTACTGATGGCTCCCGGGGTGAATAGATGGGGATCTCTTTTAAGGATCAGCAAAGACTGGATCCGCCACAGATGCTCACTTCATTCCTGGGTTTCTCGGTCCCAAAGTCAGTTCCTTCTCATTTCCTCCAGCCGTCAGCTGTTCCATACTAATTAGTCCACAGTTAAATCTTTTGGCAAATTGGCATACCTTGGAAAAGCTGGTGGGCAGTAGCACGGAGGGTCACACCTTGTGTCACTCATTGCCAGAGGGCTGTGGGAGAGGTCAACACCCACCAGCCCTCCTCTTCCCAGGGTCTTTTTTTGTTTGTTTGCTTGCTTGCTAGTTGGGTGTTGTTTGTTTTTTCAGGGAGAAAACTTTTTCTTAGAAAAGAAGGATTTCATGTGTCATTTTGTCTCCCTCTGCTCATGCGATGGCTTTATTCTTTTTAACGAGCCAGCTTTATTAGCTGGGTTTCTAAAATTATTCTCAAAACCTTGACGTGTTTATGAACTGAAGTGCTGGCAGAACCCAAGCCAGAGGGCCATGTAAAAGTGTCCTCTGTCAGATGACTTCACTAACCGCTGGCCCATCAGCCGCAGCTCCTTTGCTCTGGCTGGGTTTGACAGGCCCATTCCTTACTGGCCTCTGAAGTGGGTACGCTCTTTGTTGCTTCAAAGAGGCTGAAAACCTAAACTTGGAATGAGCAAGCGATTTGTGTTTACCCCTTTTATATAACACTTAGAGTGAGGTGTGATGGTTAGCTGTGAAATAACTGGCAGAACCACCTCCCATTTGGGAAATTTGGCTTCTGTAGTTTGCTCTCACTGGTGGCTGGGTAGAGGGGAAGGAATCTGAACCTCAGCAAACTTCCCACCCTCAACTGTGCTCTCTGTAGTCCCATTGCCTTTGGAAAACAGTACAAGGGGAATCATCTGCAGCCAGAACAGGGCTCTGCTGCTGGGCCCATTCATTACAGTGATGTCAAATCACTTTCGCCTTCCCTAAGGAACAACCGCATTTGAAGGAATCCGGGAGTCTGTTTGGGAAACGCTTTGTCTCTTTCCTGTTTGTGTGTCTGACTTCAGTGCTTTTAGTGGAGGAGAGACACAGCTGTCTGAAATTAAATAGAACAATTCTACTTGGAGTTTCATGAAAGCTCAACTTTTTTCCCTTTTTCTTTTCTTTTTTCCTAATGGGAGAGTAGTGGCAAATTTTAGAGAAAGCAAAATTTAAATTGCAGTTGTACGTGAATGTAATTAAAAAAAAAAATTAACCCCAGAGGTCAGCTTTAATTATACCTCTTCCTGAAAGTAATGCTCTTCTCAATAGAAAGTCTCGAAAAATGTGGCCTTTGGAATCAATGTAGCATTTGTTTGGGTCTTGAAGATTTGGCTGTGGTTTTGAAAGGTATAGTGTGGTTTTTTTTTCCTCCTATCAGTTTTGATTAAATATTGATCTGTTCACAAGATTCATTGGTATCATTGTTGTCCTCTCGGTCCATGAGGACTGAAATCAAGAACTCTTTCTTCTGTAGGGCATCTCTACCCTTCATTATCTCACAATTTTATTATCAGCTAAAAGCTGAACTGAATTTCAGTTTTCATCCTTCTACTGAAAATCATAGGTGAGTCAAGTTATGCTCTTAGATCATTTAGTCCAAGGTTCAGGGAGATAGTCACTTGCCCACAGGCTGTAGTTAGAACCAGACTCGGCAGTGGAAACAAAGTTCTTCTGCCGCCTCCAACAAGTGCTTCTTAGATGATGGTACACTGGCCCCTCTCGGTGTCACTGTGGCTTTAGTTATTGTCAGCATGTTTCAGACAGATCCTTTATTAGGCTTATTTGCTGGTCCCCCCCCCCCTTTTGAACATAGAGTTCCCTCTTTCAGGATATTAAACACCTTCCCCCCCCCCAAAAAAGAAAAGAAAACCAAAACACGAGCAAACAAAAAGCCACAGAGTATATATCACTGAAGGCGCAAAACCCGCTCAGAGGCCAGGGTGCTCCTCCATTTCCCCATACTTTACTGCACTGAAGGAAGCACTTGACTCCAGGAGAGACTGCCTCAGTCCCTTACCACGAAAGCAACCAGGAAAAGGATGAGAATATCCCGTGTCCTGAACTTACTCTGAGATCTGTACCTGTTTCCCTGTGTCTTTTCTCTTTCTGTTTTGAACTTTGGGAAGGAGTAGCTCCCTGGAGATGAGCCATTGAGGGTGTGCTATCCATAAACCAGTTCCAGGACAGAAGCATTAGGGTTCAATGAGGTGTTTACATTGTCATTATTCAGTTGGTTCTTTTGTCCTACAAGCCACGGAAATAGGGAAGAAACTTTTCTACTTGTAGGTTTTTATCTGACTAATCTACTTTGCCCTTCTTTAAGGACTTTCATTAAAATAGAAGATGTCACATTATGGGCTATTATGCTGACATCCTGGGGAATTTTTTTTCAACAAGATCATTTTTCATTATGAATTTGTGCTATGTGTCAGCACCTTTTTTCCACCCTCGGTTTAAAAACAAAACATACAAATCAGATTTCTGATTTTGACCTTTGCTTTTAAATTTGTACCTTTATTAAAGCTGTTCTTGCTTCTTTATTTCTGGAACTAAAAACCAAACAGACATCTTATTCAAACTTTTAGAGCTTTTTAAACTGATGGGTTATTCTCTTATAGGGGTTTTCCCCTTCATCCTCTTGAATTAATCTGTGAATGCCTGACTCTAGAAAAATCCATCTCAACATTGGTCTCTGAGATGAAGTTCGCTCTGGGCTGGGGTTACTTATTCCCAAGAGACACTGTCTTCTGTCAGTATGACCTCCTGAAGTCCTAGGCTGATAAACGTCAACAGGGACAGATCATGAGGACCAACTCAAGCTCCATTCTCAGGCCATCTGTAAAAGTATCTCTGTCTGGAAGTGGCCCTGTAGCTCAAAACTGTAGAGCAACTAGTTAGAGAAAAAAAAAAAAAGAAAGAGAGAGCTCAGAGACAGGGCACAGGCCTTGAGTTCAAGCCCCAGGGCCAACAAAAACAAAAATCAAACAACAAAAAGTATCTCCACCTAACATGCAATTTCTATCTTTAAACTCTTTGATTTGGGAGGTGAGAAACCAAGAAATCACCACATTTAAGACTGACAAAATGAAGGAAGAAGACTTGTCAAAAAAACATCTCTCTGTCCATTCCTCTAAAAATGGGGCAAACTACAAACTAAAAGGTCTTGATCCACTACCGAACAGGAGTCCTTGTAAAGCGAATACCCTTATCATCAACAGAGAATTTTAATTGAGTCCTTTTTCTGAGGTGGAATTCAGGGAGGGGAAGAGATAGCTAGTAATTAAGATGATCCTAGTGTCGGTTGAGGTAAGGATGCTTAGACTACCTTGAAATCCGAATACTGTTTCTGCTTAAAAATCCTCTGCTCTGTGCGGGTTTACATGCATTCTAAATAAAAACAGTTCACTTTTCAAACTTAAGATTGTCCTTATTATCAGACTTTCATCCAGCACTCCCATCCAACCCATCTTAGCTATAAAATTGCCATTGTATAAAGTGAAGAAGCCCCATTTTTTTGTTTTGGAGTGTTTTTTGTTTTTTTTGGGGGGGGGGGATTTTTGGTCTGGAAGCTTCCTCGAGGGTGTGTTCTATAGCTGAGGCCACTGACAGAGACAGAAGCTCTCTAGTGGCAAAGGGGCCTGTGTGGCACATAAAGTATATAGGAAAGAGCTTCTGTTGGGGCAGGTGAAGTCTGGATGTGTGGAAGGCAGTGTCCTCTTCCTGATAGGATAATAGAAGGCCCACAGCAGCCTGTCCCCAGCAATAATTCTTTAGGACCCTGGTCAGTTCCAATAAGATTTTTTTTTTTTTTCCTTCCTGAGTTAGGTGAATACACTCTTAGGTCTTTTTGTACTTTGAAATTCCAAACATGCAACATGTTTCTGTGCCACATATTCTTGTCTCTAGGACAGAATACTGTAAGAGGTGAGAGAGAAGGACTCTGCTAAGATACACAATGATTCTCAAGGACAAGATTATGACTTCCTCCTCTTCTTCCTCCTCCTGTCCCCATTCCAGTTATCTGGAAGAACTCCTTAATTTTAGAGTGTTACAAGCTTTATGTTTTTCTTTGAACATGAATTTGAGGTGAAAGTGTCTATTGTCTCTTATTCTGGGCTTTGATCAAATATAAGTGATTTATTTTTATTTTATTTATGTATTTGTTTGGTTTGGGTTTGTTTGAGACAGAATCTTGGCTATATAGGCCAAACGGACCTCAAACATGAGAGAAGCCTCCTGTCTCAGCCTTGCAAATGCTAGGATGGCAGAGAACTACCACACCCAGTGACATAGGTGGTTTATGAGCTACGGGATTCCTTCCAATCCCCCAATTCTACAGTGATTTTGCATCTCTTCATCTCTGTGTTAGCTTTTTATATATTCTACAGTTCTCTATATAGTAGGAATTTTGAATATTAGGGCTCTCTTTCATTCCTTCGTTAAGACAACTTTGTTACTGAAGCTTTTTCATCTAGTTTTTGCTGTTGTACTTTGATGCTGTTTGTTGAAAACAGGGTCTTGTAAATTTGCCCATGATGGGCCTGGACCTCATCAACCTTCTGCTTTAGCCACTAGAGTAACAGATTTCAGGCCAAACCAGCACTCCTGCCTACTCTCTTCTTAGTACTCTCAGGTCTTGCCTACTGAATTACATTTGGAAGGTTATCTGTCAGTGGCAAGAACCTGGGATACTGCTTCATCTCTTCCCAATGATTGGTTCCCATTGAGGCTCTGTCATCTTGAGCCTTCCATACATCCCACTGTGGTAGGAACATGACTCTAGTTTACTCTAGTTTTCTTTTGGTGCCAAGGGGAAAAAAATGTGCTTTTTTAGTGTAAGATTGATAACTGGAAACCAATCACATTCTACAGAAGAATGACAATTTGGAAGAAAACTTGTGACCTTCATGTGCTGTTCCTTGTTGGTAATCAAACTCTGACTCCCAGAGACTATAATTAAAACAATGTTGATAAACCAGTTGAGTACCTGGCTTAAAATTACTACTTTAAAGTGGATGTGTTGAAAATATCAGCTGCTAATTATTGGCTCACCAACAAATGGTATTATTTGTTTTTCCTGTTTGTCATTTCAGTATTATGGAATAATCACTTCCATGTGAATGCCAATGATTTGTGTGTCACAGAAGGCAATTCCCTGAATCTTCCGAATTAATAATATGTCCTGGACAATGAATTTCTGAACAAATAAGTCTACCTAAGTTTTCAGGATGTATTTTTATCTCAAGACTGCTCTGAGATGCCTCCTCCTGTCCCTAACAGTTGAGCTGCTAACAAATACCAATAATGATGAACTGTTCTTGAAAGGGCAGATAGATGTAAATGAAGGCAGAGGAGGAGGATGAAATGAACATCTGCTTTTTTCAGCTCTCTGCCAGAAATTCATCAAGGACCAAAAATAACACTAGAGCTTGCCAGCCTTGTTTCAACTTGTGTTAGGTATAGGAAATTCTCTCTCTCTTTCTCTTGCTCTTTTTTTCTCTCCCTCTCTTCTCTCTCTTTCTCTCATCTTAAGTATGCTCCACTGACATGTATATTGAATACTAAATTACTGTAGAAAAATAAATCATTTCCTGATAAGAAACTTACACAAGAAAGACTGCTGGGTAGGTGTGCCTATTCTCTAGGAGACAGCGGTTTAAATTCTTGATGAGCTTTAACAGGTAGCAGTGGATTTCATAACCCAAATTTCACGCTCCATTGTGAACCACCTGAACCAGTGCGTTTTCTTGTATCAGCATCTGACATTTCAGGACCAAAATCACACAGGCGCTATCAAGGATAGTAGAACTGGAAGTAAATATTACTGATTTCTTTTTTTCCTTTTTCTTTTCTTTGTTGAACTGGTGCTTGCTGGGCAAGCAAGTGATCTACCACTTGAACCACACCCCCTAGTCCTGGTAATAAATATTATCTTTTACTCCACCCCTTTGTCTATTTCAAAAGGTATTCTGTAATTAATTTGTGGGCTGTTTTGAATCAAAAATAGGAAAGGGAGAAGTTTCTGGAGTTCTTTTGAATAATGATGAATTGCTTCCTGATTCTTGGTTGATTTTTTTTTTTTAATTCTCTCAAAAGAAACTTAGGATCAAGCAGGAACTGTGACACAGTTAACATGTTTCTTTGGTAAGGCTTTCCAGAATCAAAATGTATTGAGTCTAAGAAGGTCATTTCTTCAGATCTTAGAACCCACAGTGCTTAGAACTCACAGCTCCTCAGTACAAATTCCATCTCAAAGGAGGACCTTTGACCACTCTTGAATAGATGTCAGAGAAGAACAAAGTTACTTGAAAGATCTTTCTTCCAATTAAAGAGAACTTACAAGCTATGGGGGTATCGGGCAGAGAGCTCATCTGGGATGAAGAAAATATAATGTGTTTGGTTTCTGGTTCCTGAGCCTTTGTGGAACAACTAGAGAGCATTATTTTGGTTTCTGAGGTTAAAACTGTTTTATTTCCCTAGAGTACACTATGTTTATGGTTTGAGGGAGAATGAAATAGGAAACTAGGAAGAGAGCTACAATTGTCTAATCTTGACCATCTAATTCTTCTGTGTCTTATTCTCAAAACAGAATGGTTATTATCTTCTCTGATCTCCTAGCACGAAGAGTAATAATAAAAGTAAAGGACCTTCCATCGGTGGAGAATAATCCTGTGGACTATTTTAATGCTTGGTTGAATATGTGCTTGGGATTTGAGATTCTAGATAGCCTGGTCTGCGGATACCTGTTAGTTGTTGAGGCTTCATTAATGCCTGGTCTCTGATGTTGACTGGTTAGCCACTTGACAATTCAATTCATTGAACAAGAGCGGATAACATGTCACAGTGCAAGTAATTGTTTCCTACGTTTGTCCTTTTAGATTATTGGAGTGCTGAGTAAAGAATACATACCACAGGGAACTCGATTTGGACCCCTAGTAGGTGAAATCTACACCAGTGAAACAGTTCCCAAAAATGCCAACAGGAAATATTTTTGGCGGGTAAGTAAGAACACAACAACAACAACAACAAATTAAGGCTTTTAGTGTTAAGGGGGGAAAAAACTAAAGCTGTAAGAACATATAGGATTACTTCCTTTTTCAGCCCTGTATTGAGAAATGCTGGGGTCTGCCCACAAGTATTTGGGGCGTGTGGGGAGAAGCGAGGATCCTGATGGAAATAGGGAATTCTGAGCATGGAAACTAGTTAAATGTTCAGTCCAGAGATACAAAGTGTGGGTAGTTACTGTTGGCAATAATGGACTCTATGGGACTTAATTTTTGCAACTCATTAGAGTTTTGTGATGAAAGGAAATGGTGTGCTGCTTGCTTCTGAGCCAGGTTCATTTTTATTTCTCTTCAAGGAAGTAGTAATGAGTCACCAAGCCTTAGATTTCACCCCTTCTTGATTGCTTGGTGAGTTAATGTTAGTTGAATGAAGTTTTCATAAACGATATTTTGAATAAAAACAACTCTGAATGAAGGACAGGTGAAAAATGGGCTTAGAGAAGAGAAAAGAACCACAGAATGGCCCTTAACTTCAACTGCACCACGAAACTAAATTTAACTTAACTTCTAAAGCATAGGAAAATGCTCACACAGTGTGAGATGATAAACTTGGTTCTATCATACATTCAAAAGACCTGCTCTACAACAAGGTGCTGGTGGCTCACTCCTGAGATCTGAGGGTCATGGTTCAAAGACAGTCCAACCAAGAAAGTCTATGAGATTCTTTGTGCCAATTAACCAACAAAAAGTGGGAAGTGGAGCTACAGCTTAAGTAGTACAAGGGGTAGAGTACCAAGCTTGAGAAGAAAAAAAGAAAGAAAGCACTGAGTTCAAAACCCAGTAACCAGCACAAAAAAGACTAGTTTATATGTTGCCTTTGGAATGTCAAGGTTTACAAAGGCTCTCAGATTGAATTTTTGAGTTGGGGTCTGAATCAAGACTAAACAGAGAAGTCAGATTGATTCCATTTTCCCATGCTATTGGTATATTTGGTTTTCTCAATTGGTTCAAATGGTGGACACCTGCCTACTCAGTACTACCAAAATGAAAAACAACAGCAATGCTTATTTAAATTTCACAACCAATTTTTATGTTAATATTTATTTGTGTTAATATTTTAACATAAACAACATACTGGGTGAAACTTTGATAAAATAACTACATGATAATAACCAAATTGAATTGCTCCCTTTGGCTGGTATTTTTACCTAAAAATTTTAATATCTTTTCGACAAGTATCATAAAAGATTTTTGTTAGGCAATTACTTAGAAGCTATTGCCAGGAAATTTGAGGTGTTTTTTTTTTTTTTTAATCCAGGAAGTTTTAAGTTCCAGAAGGGTATTCTACTATTTGTTGAGCATAAGCGAACAATTACAGTTTCCCTAAGAATTGTATGTTGTCCATTGTTATGCGATAATTATTCATGCTTAAAATATATCCACTACATCACTTATAGAAAAAGGGATGCACTTTATTTTTGGCTTTTCTTGCCAATGAAATCTTCTGAGATATGAGCCATAGGTATATTAATTTTTGACTCAAAAGGTTGGAATTAAGACAGTACAGCCTGTCTTATTAGTATGGGATCATTTTGAAGAACTTTTTTTTAAAAGGCAAGAACTACTTAAGAATTTCCCACATCTATCCCAGTTTCCTGTTCATTACTTTTAGTGAATCTTTAAATTAAAAAGTAGCCTTCGTAGGAATTAGCCTCCCAAGAAAGATTTCCTTAGGAGGATTTATTCGAATCTCTCCTTCATTTGGCAAGAATATAGTAGGAGATAACTTCTTGATGTTGCTAAAAGCATCCTGGGTTTTGCTGGCAGGAGGAATCTGAACATCTGTTGGGAGGAAAGAAAAAGTTTTATGCAAATTACACAGGCAAAGAGATGTTCAAATTGAGAAAGCAGTGACATTTCTTGTAACTGTACTGTGAGTCAGCACGTTTTGAATCTTCTTGATAATAGATGGAAATGCAGCCAGGTGACAGGCTACCGTGTTCATTTGACGTCTGCACTCTTTTCTTTTCTGGTGGGTGTGTTTGTATGTGTGTGACCTCATGGCGTTGGCAGTTCTGTTTTTAAATGAGGATACAGTAAATGGTAGTCCGTGGAAAGCTGACTGGAATCAAGATACCAGTAGCTTTAGAAAGCAGTTTCCGCCCTAGTGAAAAGGGCTAGAGTGGTGGAACCCTATGTTCCTGGAAGTTTGCTCATGAGAGTAAACAAACTTGAAAACCCCTCTTGATAGCCCAATGCACCCAGCCTTGTTCCATTTTCTCTTAACAAAACACACCGCAAATGCTCTCACAAGCTGCTTTGATGAAGCCACATGTATTTCCCCCTTCACAATTTACAGGAAGTTACTCTTAAAAGAAAGTGATTCTGATGTTTACTGCCTGTGTTAAAGGGACAGAGTTCCTTTTTATTTCTGATAGCACTGGAGCGAAATACAGAACCCATTCATAGAGGAGCATAGTCAGGGGCGGAGAGGCAAGAGGTCTCTTTGCTGTCCTGTGAGAGCCATCAGGTGCCTCACACTTGAGGGACCCCAACTGCTCATGGCCAGGCACTGACTATCTGTGGTGAAGAAAACTAAGTCGGAGGGAGAGGTGAGACCTTCCCCGAAGGGTTAGGAGCGAGCTTTGCCATGTGGTTGCAGTGAGTGTACATCCTTTGATTTTTTTTTTTTTCCCTATTCTTAACTCTGTCTTTTGACTAGCACCCTATGTGCAGCTGTGAACCAGAGGTAGTATTACTCAAGGACAGACTTGGAATTCTTCTTTATGCTTTTATTGTCTTTAAGGAACCACACACTTTCTGCCTGTTGTTTTAGTTTTGGGGGCTTTTTTTCCCCCCAAAAGCTCAAGCCTGGATCTCAGCATGTGGTGTTTTAGACAAGCTCTTCTCAAATATGGGGGTAGTCTCCCCGAGACTCTCTCTTCCCTCCTCTGACTTAAAAAGAAGCAGCACCGGGCTGAACATGTTTACCAAGAGGAAAAGTGACTTCTCTGTACACTGTCAAACTCTGGCCTCTGTCCCAGTGCTGTCTTTGTTATGGCAGGTGAAATTCACCTTTGCCCCACCCAGTGTTTCCACAAAAAGGCACAGTTCCAAGTATTCATATGAACAAGTGTTACTTTAGGACTCAAGGGTTGGGGGGTGGAGGATGTTTGCATAGTCTGAGCCTTGGGCGGAGGTGTAGGAAACAGCTAGCACGGAGGCCATAGAAAGAGCTGAGACTCAGTTTGACGCAGTCAGCCTGCTCTTCTACCCAGTGACTCAAAGCACTAAAAGTCACCGTGATCAGAACTCAGGTTAGCAGCATCGCCCATTTGTCATTCACTGCTGTAGCTCAAGTGCTTCACTGTGGTGGCTGAAATCAGTCTGAAGCCGTGCCTTAGATGAAATTTTGAGTTTCATTCTTCAGTTATTTCCTGCCACCCCCCCCCCCCCATCCCCCCGTCCCCCACACATGAAAAGACCATAGAACTGAAATGGAAAAGGTAACTGACAGACAGTGCCTTACCTGTTTCCGCCCTGAGTTTTGCTGATTCAGGATGACTTCTGCCACCCTGACTGATTCTCTGTCTAGCTGGGCAGTGGAGGGGAGCCGGAATCCAGGTGGTGAGAAAGAGTTCCATGGCTTTGGGCTAGCTTCCTTTCAGAAACACCAAGTCTGTTTTCTCTTTTTGGACAGATTTACTCCAGAGGGGAACTTCACCACTTCATTGATGGCTTTAATGAGGAGAAAAGCAACTGGATGCGTTATGTGAATCCGGCACACTATGCCCAGGAGCAAAGCCTGGCTGCATGTCAGAACGGGATGAACATCTATTTCTACACCATTAAACCCATCCCTGCCAACCAGGAACTTCTTGTGTGGTATTGTCGGGACTTTGCAGAGAGACTCCACTACCCTTATCCTGGAGAGCTCACAGGGATGAATCTCAGTAAGTGGATTATAAAAACAAAAAAAAATGATTTTTTTAATGCCAGTAATGTCATTCTGCCCTTATGAGCTAATAACATGTTTAATTACATGTCTTCATCATCTGTTTTACAAAGTAGGTGGCTTAAACAAGGGACTAGAAAGAGGAATTTAAAAAAAAATGGTCCCTATTCCTTGTTATGAAACTTGATCGTCAGCCTTGAATGTTGAGTTCAGAAGGTTACAGTAAGAAATATATCCTATATGCCAAACTTTAATGTATGCAAAAAAAGATGGGGTTGAGAATTGAATAAGGATTGTCCCCGGCACACTGCTGAAATCATGCATTGAAATAATGTGGAGATGCACACTTGAATAAGAAGTCATAGGCTGATGAGGTTGTTTCTAGAAAACATCTTGTCATAATTTTCTCAACTACTATTCAAATGGAATAACCCTAAAGAATTTATTTCTTAGTTTCCTTATGGTAAAACGAATTACTCTGATCTCCTAATCAGTATTACAGTAACCACCTATCAGTTTATCTTAACAAATTCTCAGTTCCTTGGTTTATAAGCTTTTACTTTCTCCATTTGGTTAACATTGCTGTCATGACCTCTTTCTGCAGAAGCCTTCTTCGCTTTAGTCTTTCTCAAGAGATATGTGTAAATAATTTAAGAATCAATTTAAAATTCTAACTTTAGTTGTAACAATGGTTGTATGTCCTTAGACTGCTAAATTTTATACAGTTTAAAAAGGAAGTTCCTTTTGGTTCCAAAGTTAAAACTATGTCTGAGATTTTTATTACTTTTTGTTTTGATATTATTTTTAATTTAAAGGAACATTTCAAGGAAAGTATAAGAATTCCCAGTTACCCTTCACCCCCAGACTCACCAATTTCTTTTCTTTCTGTGCCAGTACTAGACACTGTTCCTTAGCATTTTTGTGCTCAAGGCTCTACCTCTTGAGCCACAGTTGCGCTTGCAGCTTTTGGGTGGTTAATTGGAACTAAGACAAAGGGACAATGGCGTTTCCATGGACTTACACTCCGTGATGGCCTCTCCTGGAAACGTACTACTGCCCTAACCTTCTCCCTTCCTCTTCTGCATCACCTTCCATTTCTTTAGCTTAATCACTTATGAATTTAGAGAGTCTTTGATTTTTGTTTTGTTAAAACAGTAAGACTACTGGGCGAGTCATCCCCAGGCCCCCCTGCCCCCCATACCACTGGCTTTTGAATAACCATAAAGGTTGAGGTGAGGGTGTTGGCTTAAGTAATAGAGAGTACGTCTTGAGTGGAAAAAGCCAAGCCAGAGTGCAAGGCCCTGAGTTTATGCCCTTCTGTAAGCCCGTGTGCATACACACACTCACACTCACACACTCAATAATAATAACCATGAAGAAACCTGTTCTATACTACCCTCACATTGTGCTAATCAAAGATTTTTGAAAACCTAGTATTTTTCTTTCCCCAAAGATTCAAGTGTTGATTCCTGTGTTCAGAAGCACTCTGTGTCTTTTCGCATGTGACAAAATGATTGCTTTTCTTTCTCCAAATAAATTTCCCCTTGGATTTCTGCAAAATTTTTCTAAGTGTCAAGTTAGCAACTTTAGGTCCTCATCATTGTTGTCCAGCATTCATAATAACAATAACTAGTCACATGACAAGATTCCTGCTGCTGATTGTGAAACTACTTGGCTTAGGTGTGGCAACTGATGATTGAGACTCTGATCAGGAAAATTTCCACTATTTCATCAAGCCTCATAGGTAGATTATGTGTTCACATGAGTTGTGTTGGGTTTCCATGCTAGAACATAATAGAAGTCTGTGCGGCCCTCCTATTAGGGCTTCGTGGTCGTGATGGCTGAGAAGAAGGGACAAACAAGGGACAAGGACAAACTAAGGAAGAGCAAGTGGCCAGAAATCACTTTGGCATTTTTTTTAAAAAGTATAGCAAAAGGAAAAAATGAACTATTAAGTTCCTACCCCACCCAATTATTTTTGGTTACTTTTTTCTATCTATCTAACCCATCTAGAAAACAGTTGACCAAATTATAGACTTCTAAATGTTAATCTGCTTTCTCAGTTTCAGTTGAAAACAGACTTTGTTTTGCCTACTGCAGAACTTCTAGGTTCTTTCTTGTAGTCTTGGGGTTCTTATTATAGATCGAAAATGTGAGTCGGCATAATTAAGCCATTCAGAGCCTTCAGAAGCAGTTCACTCTTGAAATGACTCCGTCCGCCTACAGCCATTTAAGATTTAAGAACAAAAACAGATCTTGATTTTCTTTTTCATGTTAACTCAAACTGGTGCTAAGTAGGAGAGTCAGAAATGACACCAGCTCTCCTGATTACTCAGCTGCTGAAGGATGAGTTTTTAAAATGTACCTTCATAGAGGCTTCACAATTTCCACCTACAGAGCATTTCACAGAGGCTAACGTTAGCTCCTCTCAGAATATTTTTTTTAGAATAAGGTACAAATCTGCTTAGCTGAAAACATCAGAGATAGCAAACACTTACTATAGATTGACTGTACACCAGGCACTGTGTGCTGTTTTTTTTGTTGTTGTTGTTGTTTGTTTGGTCAATCGTGGGGCTTGAGCTCTGAGCTTGGGTGCTGTCCCTGAGCTCTTCAGCTCAAGGCCAGCGCTCAACCTCTAGAGCCACAGTGCCACTTCTGGTTAATTGGAAATAAGAGTCATGGACTTTCCTGCCGAAGCTGGCTTTGAACTGCATTCCTCAGATCTCAGCCTCCTGAGTAGCTAGGATTATAGACATGAGCCACCAGTGCATGGCCAGAGTTTGTTTGTTTTTTTTTCATAGAAAATGAAAGGTTATGACTTTTTTTTTTTTTGGTCATATGGCCCCAATCATTACTTTAATGTTAGTTCAATAATCACATTAAACTGAGTTGCTTGAAAAGAACATATGACTATATATGAAAGCATATTCAATTCTGTGAATAGACTCAAAGTTTTGATGTTTTTCATAGCCCAGATTTGTTACCTTGAAGATGATAGGAGTAAGGAAAGCCACTGGGTGTGTGTGGGGGGGGGGGCTAATACTTAGATACAATTTGTCTCGTACATGTGACACGTTATAAAGTTAGGAGGTGATTCTTCCATACTTTTGTTGCATGCATTACAGTGCGCCCCCCACCCTCCACCTGCATGAAATTCCTTTCCAAGGCTGTGAGATGCCTGGCCTCTCCGTTTTCCAGCTTACGTGTCTTTCCTTGCTTCAACCACTTCAGCTTTAAAAAACAAAAGTGACAATTTGCACTTCCTGCCTGCTGGGCCTTACTGAAAGACTGATATTGGCCCGATAAGGAAGTATTTATTTTAGGTTAGTGGCTTCAGATAGTATCCTCCCTCAACAACCTGTCCATCACTTCCCTCCAACAGCCTCTTCCCTGATACTGTTGTTCCCCGTGTTTATTCTGGGGCTTCTGGCTGGCCCAGAGGAGCCCGTGATAACAATGAGCAGATAACATTCTCTAAGAGATTCTAACTGGAATCAAATTCCCCACAGCCTGTCAGCCTGGATTTGAAAGCTTAGTTCTGGAGTTCAACAGAATCTTACAGGGTAACAAGCCTAGAGTTCTTCCTCCAAGAAAGCAAGCCAGATGCATTTTGGTTATTTTATTTATTTTGGGTTTTTTTTTGTTGTTTATAGTTTTAGGTGCCAATATATGGGCTTGAACTGCAGGGCCTGGGCACTCTCCTTTAACTTTTTTTCTTAAGGTTGGTGGTGCTCTACTCAGGAGCCACAGGTCCAGCCACCCCACGCTTTTATCTGGTTAATTAGAGATAAGAATCTCATGGCTTTTCAGCCAGCCCAAGCTGGCTTCACATCATGATCCTTAGATCTCAACCCCCTGAGTAGCTAGGATTACAAGCATGAGACACCAGTGCCCAGCAAGCAGGTACATTTTATAAGATGACAAAGAGTACTTACACAGTGGCTTCAGTACAATCCCAGAACCTGCCACCTGTTCCACTGCCAGAACCAAAGGGCCTTACTCTTACTCCACATTGTACCCACACTCAGATTGTTGCCCTCAGTATGCTCTTGGGGGCAGTTGTGCTGGTTTAAGTGAGAGTTCTAGAAAGCAGTGCACATCTCCCATGTTTCTTTGGTTGCAGGGAAGGCCTGAGCAGAAGCTTTGCTGTGTTTCTTGCTCTGACAGGTGTTTTCCTGAAGGCCTCATTTGTTCCATGTGATGGACAGTCCAGGGCCACAGATAGCCTGAAACTGTTCCCATGGCTGGTGTTCCTAAACAGTCTGTTTACTGAGGGATCTTTGCCGACTCCGGGATAAATGCTTTCTTCTGAGATGCCTCTGTTTTCCTTGGTGCTATAAAGTAATTGAACTGGCTCGGGAAGGACTTGTTGTGGTTTGGCAGAGGTGACTGGTCACACCTCATGACTCCAGGAGACAGCTCTGCTGGTAGCCTGGTTAGACCAGAACTTAAATGAAATGCTGGTGCTGTCAGCCAATGCAAGCGTTAAGGGGTGGCGTTCATGTCCTTCATCCATTTGGCACAGACACTTTGAACAGGGCTCTATCTTTAGTTCCTACTAAACAAGAGTCGAATGGAAAATGAATGGCTATGTATTACTTGAAATGAATCTTTATCTTTCACATCTAGTCTGTGGGGTACACTGATGTCTTTTAGGCAACCTAAACAGAGCATCTGAATGACAGGTGACAACCCCAGTATTTTTCCACATATACACACCCCGCCACCTCCAGCTTCTATACTAGCCCGTGTTTGTGTGAACAGCCCTCTTCTGTCATAAAGTTTGTACAGAGGGACGCATCGGCATCCAGAGGCTCAGCTACTGTCCCCTTTTTGCTATGGAGGAAACAGCAGTGCTTCTGAGTGGGTGGCTGGGGGCCTCGAGAGCAAGAAGGAGCGTTCGAGCCAGGTGGTGGTGGTTTGTCACCAGATGCTGCTCAGGTTTTCAGAAGAACAGAACCGCTTTAATGATTTCACTTCAGCTCTCCATAGCCTGCTGAGTAACCACCTTTTTCCTCCTCTTTATTTCAGCACCAACACACAGCAACCCAAAGCAAGCCGGTGCTGATACAAATGAACTCTGCCCCAAGAACGTTCCAAAGAGAGAGTACAGCGTGAAAGAAATCCTAAAGATGGACTCCAACCCTTCCAAAGGGAAGGACTTGTACCCTTCTAACATTTCACCCTTCACTCCAGAAAAGGACCTGGATGACTTTAGGAAAGTCAGGAGCCCCTTATACCCTCGGGTGGTCTACCCCATCCGGGCACCTCTGCCAGAAGACTTTTTGAAAGCTTCCTTGGCCTATGGGATGGAGAGGCCGACTTATATCACTCATTCCCCGCTCCCATCATCTACAACTCCAAGTCCTTCCGCAAGAAGCAGCCCTGAGCAGAGCCTCAAAAGTTCCAGTCCTCACAGCAGTCCGGGCACCACCGTGTCCCCCGTGGCCCCTGGCTCTCAAGAACATCGGGACTCCTACACCTACTTGAATACACCCTATGGCACCTCTGCGGAAGGCCTAGGCTCTTACCCTGGATGCGCCCCTGCCCCCCACCTCCCACCAGCGTTCATCCCCTCTTACAATGCTCACTACCCCAAGTTCCTGTTGCCCCCCTATGGCATGAATTGTAACGGCCTGAGCGCGGTAGGCAACATCAATGGCATCAACAACTTCGGCCTGTTCCCCAGGCTGTACCCTGTCTACAGTAACCTCCTGGGAGGGGGCAGCCTGCCCCATCCCATGCTCACCCCAGCCTCCCTGCCCAGTTCCCTGCCCTCTGATGGAGCCCGGAGGCTGCTTCCTCCAGAGCATCCCCGGGAGGTGCTGGTCCCAGCACCCCACAGTGCCTTTTCCCTCACTGGGGCTGCAGCCAGCATGAAGGACAAGACATGTAGCCCCACCAGTGGCTCTCCGACGGCGGGGACAGCCGCCACGTCAGAGCACGTGGTACAACCCAAAGCTACCTCAGCAGTGATGGCCGCCCCCAGCAGCGAGGAAGCCATGAATCTCATTAAGAACAAAAGAAACATGACGGGCTACAAAACGCTTCCCTACCCACTGAAGAAACAGAATGGCAAGATCAAGTATGAGTGTAATGTCTGCGCCAAGACCTTTGGCCAGCTCTCAAATCTCAAGGTAGGCCTTAAACAGCAGGGCCCACGAGGGCACTTAGTTTACTCCTTGCCGCTGGTTAGAAGCTTCATGGACAGACCCAGGCCAGGCCTGCTGTGTGTGAATTCTGCTTTCCTCTTGCCATTCCTAGCTCTGTGGTTTTAGGACACATTGCCAGCTCTCTCCTGATAGTAAACATGTGGAAATCGGGCTGGTGGCATGCTCTGCTAGCCTAGCAGTTTGGCTCTTTTAGCTCAAGCCCTACTAGACAGAGCATTCTAAAAACCCAGGTGCTTTGTGTGTTCTCGAAGGCTTTGTCTTGATGCTTTTCTTGGGAGTTTTGCATCACCAACCCCTGCGTCTCACCCCCATCTTGGCAGCACAGCTAACCCACCCCCCTACCCGTGTGGCTTCTTCCCAGGTCCACCTGAGAGTCCACAGTGGAGAGCGGCCTTTCAAATGCCAGACTTGCAACAAGGGTTTTACTCAGCTCGCCCACCTGCAGAAACACTACCTGGTACATACAGGAGAAAAGCCACATGAATGCCAGGTGCGCGCACGGCTTTCTGGGTAGAACTTTTGAGCTTTGTAGAAAATGTCTGGAGTTGCCTTCCTGTGAACCCCCCCACAAGGATCCTGTCTTGATAGGGGTGGTGGCCCTGCCCAGCTTCCCCCCATTCCCCCCCCCAACCGTGCCCGCTGACAGCCTGCAGCAATGGATGACACAGCCAGCCTCCAGTGGGTGGGAAAATAGTAGGGAAACAAGCAGCATCTCGTGGGCTGCGCACCCACATCCCTATTTGCTGAGTACTACAACATGGGTGCCACTGGGAGACTTCTTGCCTCCCAGGTTGCTGGGCGTTGGTCAGCTTGCTCCTCCTTGTTGGCATGTCTTAATCTTCTGGTCTTCCCTGTCTCCCTCCCTGACCCCTTCTCCCCCTCCCCCCCTCCACTGTAGGTCTGCCACAAGCGATTTAGCAGCACCAGCAATCTCAAAACCCACCTGCGACTCCACTCGGGAGAGAAACCTTACCAATGCAAAGTGTGCCCTGCCAAGTTCACCCAGTTTGTGCACCTGAAGCTCCACAAGCGACTCCATACCCGGGAGCGGCCCCACAAGTGTGCCCAGTGCCATAAGAGTTACATCCACCTCTGTAGCCTCCAGGTGCACCTGAAGGGGAACTGTCCCGTGGCCCCCGCCAGCGGACTGACCATGGACAACCTGACCCGCATCAATGAAGAAATCGAGAAGTTTGACATTAGTGACAATGCCGACCGGCTAGAAGACATGGAGGACAGCCTTGACTTGACTTCTGTGGTGGAGAAGGAAATTCTAGCTGTGGTCAGAAAAGAGAAAGAAGAAACTGACCTGAAAGTGGCTTTGCAAAGAAACCTGGGGAGCGGACTCCTCTCCTCGGGGTGCGGCCTCTATGAGTCACCAGACCTTTCCCTCATGAAGTTGCCTCGCAGCAAACCACTACCTCTGGTACCTGTAAAGGTCAAACAAGAAACAGTCGAACCGATGGATCCTTAAGATTTCCAGAAAACAAGTGTTTTGTTTCCTTTCTTAAGTTATGACTTGGGTGAGTCAGGGTGCCTGTAAGCAAACTGCTTGTACATAATTCCAGATCTACAAAGAAAGCTCTCTTCTTGGCAGGTGGATTTCCCTCACCTACCTGGAATTAAAGAAGGACTCCAAAGTAACCGAAATCTCAGGGCATAAATGAGGCAAAGACTCTCCATATACATATATATATATATACATATTATATATACTTATTTACACCCATGTCTATATATTTGAACCTGTGTATTTTGAATATTTGTGTGGATATGTTTGCATAGCCTTCCCATTACTAAGACTATTGTCTAGCCATAATTATTTTTTCAATGATAATCCTTCATAATTTATTATACAGTTTATCATTCAAAAAAGCAATAATTAAAAAAAGTTTACAATGACTGGAAAGATTCTTTGTAATTTGAGTATAAATGTATTTTTTTTGTCTTGTGGCCATTCTTTATAGATCAATTTCTGCACATCTGTTTAAGTACCTAAGATATCTATGACTTCAGTCAACCTTTCTCTATATTGTTTTGAAAATGAGGTTTCGGTATTGCCAAAGTTAGACATCTGGTGTGTTGACTCATAGGATCCTTTATCAGCATTGTATAATTTGGGGGTATGTGTGCAGAATAATTACCCAATAATAACTTGAATAGAAAGAACAAGAAAAGGAATCTTCTATGTTTCTGTGGATAGGTTTTTAAAAACAATGTTTGCATTTATACAATTTTTACCAAAAATATAACAGGAAGGTTTTACCAACCTGTGTCTCAAAAAAAGTAAGATTCCCTCCCTATTCTCAAATCATATGACCATTGAGTGGCCACATGACTTTTGCATCCCAATGTATTATCTAAAAATGTGAAGAAGACAAAACTCCATGTTGAAAACCACTGAGAAATGGTCCCAGAGCACAGAGGGTTTGTGTGTGTGAGACTTGAGGGCTTCAGTCTGGGTGCCATTTTATTGTTGTTTTTTGTTTTTGTTTTTTGTTTTGTAAATGTCAAAATTGCACAAAGGTGGTGCTGTACTGGGAAGGATTTGAAGTAGATAGGCTCGGACCACATTTAAAACACAATCAAAAAACAGAAGGAAAACGGGTATTGTGGTCATCTTAGGTAAAATGCGGGTAATGAAGATTCCTATCCCCAACACATTTAATTATATTTCTTTTTTCTGTAAAACTCCACTTTCCTCAGTCTTTGTGTTTTTGCATTTTATCGTTAATTTAACTGAAGCTGAAAGGGCATTGCAAAGTTGTTCAACAATAATTACCTCATTGAGTGTGTCCAGGAGTGCCGAAAGTGATGTCTTTAGCTCATGATTTGCTATTCTAGAGAATACAGAGTAAATGTGCTCCAGAAAGATAGACCCAATCTTTCTATCTTTTACTGTGCTATAATAAGCCCAAAGATTACCTGTTGGCATTCAAAGTGTAGCAAAGAATGGTGTATATTTATAAATCTATTTATACCACTATACCATGTGTATGTATATATATATAATATATTTATAACCACTTCAATTGTGAGCCAAGCCATGTAAAAGAACCTACTTTTCCTAAGAGCAAAAGAACCTCTTTCTGAGACTTTACTTCAATCTGACACCTCTAACCAGAGAGCCTAAAGTTCCCATGCTGGGGTTAGGACCACATCACACCCAGAAAGAAAAGAGATCCATCATTTGGGTTTTAAAGGATTATCTGATTCAGGTGTGTTTTTGTTTTGCCAGGTTATGATTATGTGGTCACTCACGGTCAAGTCACAGAAATACAAAACTTACTATGTTTTCACCACTCTGCTTCCTCTCCTCCTCTCCCTCCTTCCTAAATACTAACACATCACTATTCAGCCTATTTTATATGTTTAACATTTTGTTCATATCAACTAAACAAACTTCAAACAATCCAGGGAAACCTAAGAGCCTTATTATCTGTTCCTATAACTCACAAGACTTTTTTTTTTTTTTGCCCAAAAGCCTAGCACATGCTAGCAATCACTTGACCCCTAAGCTATACCCACAGCTCAAGACTGACAATTTTTGATATATCAGTGTTTGACAAACACAGTCTTTAATTGTAGGTGAGCCAAAGCATCACACTGACATTGACACCAAATGTTTTGAATTCCCAATGAACACCTGTGTTCTCCTTTTGTGTGTTCTTGTCTTTGAGAATTTTTGTAAAGATTTCTTCTCTTATCACCTCTTTTCCTCTTAGGCCTCTTACATGTGAATGTTGAGCCCACAATCAACAGTGGTTTTATTTTTTTTTTCCTCTACTCAAAGTTAAAACTGACCAAAGTTATTGGCTTTTTACTTTGCTAGAACAAAACTTATCTTATGTTTACGTACCGGTTTACATTGTTATTTATGTGCAAATTGTTAAAAATGTAAATTAAATATAAATGTTCATGCTTAAAACAATGCCTGTCTACTGTCATGAGGGAAGGGCCAGTAGACTATATCTTATCCAAACTGGGAGGGGGATGGGAGGTGACTCTAGTCCACATTTTGAACACTACCCAGTTTGCCTCTCCCCTTCCCCTGTCCCAACCCCTGCTGTGTTCTAAGAAGCACCAGCCAAAATGTCTTGATTAACCCCCTCCTTCCTGATCTACTAGAGAGAAATTTAACAGCACTGATCTGTTGTGTCCTTCATAACTCAACAGTGTAAGAGGTTTCTATAATTATGAGCTAAAAACATTTTCTAAGACGGTATTTCAATCCTTAGTAAATGGGATAAGATTTGTTAGCCTTCATTGATAGATATGGTGGCAAGAGGTCAAGAAGACTTGAATCAATTTCAGAAATGCCTTCTGACTCTTCTCATCTTGCAAGTGTGCAGGCCGAGCCCAGGGGTGGGGGAAGGACCTAGGTTCGGGAACAGCCGGCTTCAGTGTCTGACACACGCATGCGTGCATCCCACTGGGAATGACTGCCTCACACTGCATCTTCCTCTTTGCCTCTTCACCTGGAAAGTAAATAGGCGACTCGTGCCCTCAAAGCGAATTTTCAGAAAGCTGACTTGTACCAGAATCTGGGCATGATTTGGGTGAACCCCAGGGATTGTACTGGCATGGCCACAGCCTAGGAGCTAAGTGATGAGTTTGAGTCCACATGCTTATCCTGGGATGGGCCAGAAAATAACATGTTTCCAGAAAGAAGGCACGATCCAATTTGAATATGACTTGGTAGATATGAGTGGGAAAGGCTTCTAGAGAAGCGATAGTGCCTTCCGTGAAGAAATCTAGAAGCCCTTTGCAAGTGATTTTTTTTTTTTTGGGGTCCGGTCGTGGGGCCTGAACTCTGGGCCTGGGCGCTGTCCCTCAGCTCTTCAGCTCAAGGCTAGCGCTCTACCACTTGAGCCATGGCGCCACTTCCAGCTTTTTTCTTTTTGCTTATGTGGTGCTGAGGAATCGAACCCAGGGCCTCATGCATGCAAGGCAAGCGCTCTACCACTGAGCCAGCTTCCCAGCCCTTTGCAAGTGATTTTTATGGTTCTCATTTCATCCATTACCAAGTTCTCAGTTCCATCTGAAGAGAATAACATTTCTATATTTGGACACTCAAAACTACCCTATGTTTTCTTTTGTTTTCAATGTTTCGTCTTTAAAATTCACTTAGACATCTGTGCCAAGAATTTGGAATGCCACCAACATGCAAATGGAATTAAGAAAACCAGAACCCTCTTGTCACAAATGTTCCAAAAGGTGCTGCTCATATTCCTAAACTCTGCAGTACCATGATTGAAATAGTTTTTCAAAACAAAGCCCAATGAGATCCATAATGCAGTAATTGCGAGCTCAAATAAAAACTTCTTCACTTGGGGGCTGGGAAGGTAGCTCAGTGGTAGAGTGCTTGCCTTGCATTCATGAGGCCCTGGGTTCAATTCCTCAGCACCACATAAGCAGAAAAAGCCAGAAGTGGCACTGTGGGTCAAGTGGTAGAGCTCTAGCCTGGAGCTGAAGAGCTGAGGGACAGTGCCCAGGGCCAGAGTTTAAGCCTCATGACTGACCAAAAAAAAAAAAAATCTTTACTTGGAAAAGTCTTGTTTTCCTGAATTAGACCTTGGAAACACTGGTGGAGGGACTTAGCTGTTTAAGAAGATATTGTATAGAAAGATAATAAGCTCTCTGGTGAAAGTCCATATGCTATTGGGTTCAGGCTTCCCACGGCTGTTTACACGATGAAGCAAAACCAAAGAAGTCACCTCTGAATTTTTTCTGAATCTAATTAAATAGCATCTATATACAGAAATAATGACTAAAATTTCTCACCATGAAACAGTATACAGTACCATAGGATTTTGTGGGGACATTTCTAGGTAGGTTGTTTTTTTCATTGGAGGAAATGAGCTTGATATAGGATCCCTTAGTTGTCCTAAGTAAGGCTCTTCGTGTGTGTGTGTGTGTGTGTGTGTGTGTGTGTGTGTGTGTGTGTGTGTGTGTGTGTGTCTTGCTGTCTCTAAAAGGAGACGATGAGAAAGGGCAGAGGAATGAAAGTAATTGGAGGCACATGGGGAAAGATTTCTAATGTAAAGCTAGGCCTTGAGGATTATCTGGTCGAGGAAGGAAGAAGGAAGGCTGTAACACAGAGCAGCTAAAACAAATAATGAAGTGGCATGTCATAATGTGCTCACTGAACTGGACCAGAAGATGCTCCTGTTTGCTTTGCGATTTCACCGAGTTCTTGGTTTATAACATGTCGATTTCATTCACTTCCGGTCAGGAGAAATCATTCTGAGCCCTGGGCACCTCTTTGAAGTTTACTTCTGGGTAGACGGAGCTTATAATAAATGTTTCTAGCCTCCTGGAGAAGCCTCCATCAGATCCATTTCCAAGCTTCAACAGCTCAGAATCCCCAAGTCCATCTGCTCCAAATGCTGTGCCAGCTGTTCCCTAAATAAGTAAGAAGTCATTTTAATCTCAATACAGCCTTAATGTATGATTCAGGCAAAAAGTGCAGCAAGATTCCAAAATGTTATTTTTGGCCAGATTTATGCAAATACTCTTCTATCGCCCGGTTTCACAGAATACTATAAACTAACAAACCCTCTCCAAATTTGCTTTTCCTTTCAGATTTGGCACATACTCAACCAGATCTGGCCCTATCGGCATCTCCTTCTCTGAATATAAGATGGAAAGTTTTTATTTCTCAAACATGAACCGAGTCATCTTTTAGTCTTCATCAATCGCTATCAAGAAAGAGGAAGTAACAGATGAGTACCACTGGATATCTTTGGTAAGCAATTTCTCAATGTGTGAACCAAAAGGGGGTTGTTCTCACAGATTTATGACAAAGCTTCCTAGCTTCCAGCATCTGAAGGATTCACCTGTGGATAATGGCAGTCAGCCACGATCTCTTGTGGACAGCCAAGCAAAGAAAGGAAAAGGAAGCATGGGAGCTTAAAGCTGAGACTAGTTACCTGTAAAGTGTGTAACATGCAGGTTCCTTCCCATGGGAAGAAGCAGCGTCTCTTTGCTTAGAGCACTTACAGGAGGTGAGTTTGAAAGCAGGAGATGCACAAGTACATCCTAGCTCTGCAATTCAAGCATTTCTAGCAACCTCGTACCTGGGACAAGATAGATCGAATGCTTTGGTAGCAAGTGTTTCTGTAATGTTCCCCAAACCTCCTAGGACATTTGTGTGTGTGTGTGTGTGTGTGTGTGTGTGTGTGTGTGTGTGTGTGTGTGTGTGTAATTAGACAAATTTGGAGAGCTTGCCTAATTCTGAAGAAGACTCCAGAGTACCATGAAATGGACTCTGCTGTATCTTTTGTAAAATCCTTCAAAAGAGATTTCACATTGAAATTCTCAGGGATCATGAAAGAGGATGGAAGAGAGACACAGCACCATCCTCCATGGCATTGTACCTGGCACTACTTGAGTGAGAGCAACACTCAGGCTGGATAGTTTCCAGTGCAGTCTTTACCAGAGAGGAGAGACAACATCTCTGCCTTGCCTCCTCCTGTCAGGGTTAGCTTCCTCAAGTACTGGCACCTATCTACACAGGTAAAGGAAGTGAGGCGCACCTTCATCCCCTTCCACACAGCTGTTTCTTACCTGCCTGAGCTTAGTAATCTGATAGTGCTGTACTTGTGCGACCAACTACTGAAGATCAGTCACTCTTCCATGGTTCTCAGGGCCAAAGTCTAATAATACTCCAAAGGTGGAAACTGAGATTGAGCTTCTACTCTTCTGGAAAAAAGGCAGTCTACTCAGAGTTTAGGGGCTTTGCTCTAGTCCTGGTTCAGCTCTTTCTTAACTTCATACTCTCAAGAAAGTCCTGCAACTTCTCTGGGACTCTGTTTCCTGATTCTTAAAATAGGAGTCATTCCTGGGTTGTCTTCCAGCCTGCTAGAAGTATTCTACCTTTAATATACTAAGATTCCATCCTTTTCTCTTTTGCCCTTTTGTTTTCCTTGGATCTCTGATTTGTTGCTATAGGCAGATATTTGTTGTTTAGAGAGCAGATGTCAGGGAAAATGGAAATGAGGGGCAAGCTTGCATGGGAACAACAATTGTGGCTTCTTTGGGCCTGCAGAGGTCTTGCTGATTTGTGAGAACTTTCCCTAGGAATTAATATGTTCATCTGATGGGAATCAGGATTCTTCTAATGGAAATCATGGGTTATGCTTTAATCAAACTCCTGCTAGACTGAATCCTAGGATGTTTAATGGGTTTTTATTCTTTCTTTCTTTCCTTTTTTATCTTTCTTTTAAAGAAAAGGCCCATTTGAAAGGTGAGTGAGGAAGATTTAAGTGTGTGCGGGGACAGAAATAGTGGCAGTTGAGAACCCAGGGCAGCGACCCTTAAAGAGATGTTGAAAGTAAACATTTCAGTTAGCAAAGCAATCGAGGCCCCGACACCACTTTTAACGGTTCAAAGTTTAAAAAGGGGAATAAAGAAAAACTGAGCCGAGAGAGGTAAAGGTTAAGGCAAGACAGAAACCGTGAGTAGATAGATGCGAAAGGGCTTGGAAATAAGTGAAAAGTGAAAAAAAATTGCTTTATGAATAAACCGTTAAAAAAAAACAACATAGTGAGTGAAAAAGCAATTGTGCTTCCAGTTATTACTGAATCACCAGCCCCGTGGAAGCCTGAGACTGACCTGAGCAGTGACTCTGCCCCTACCCTTCACTGTAGCAGTTGGTGGCAGCAATCTCTGTGGGCGGACACTGTTTTCTACTTGAGTGTTCAGTTTCATTGTGATTACCGCCCCCCCCCCCATTGTGGGTGCGGCACCTTACTTCCCTGAACACTCACATGCGTGTACTGGCACACATGTGTGTGTGTGCACGCACACATCTCCCCCCACCCCAATTGGTTATCTCTGCAACCTGCTGACACCCCAAGCCTGTTCTTCACCCCTCTGAAGAACACGCACAGTATCTGCCAACCAAGGAATGGGGATGAGGGGAAAGTGAGCGGCCTGGTGAGAAAAGAAGCCAACTGGAGGCTCAGGAGCCCAAAGCCATGGCTTGTCCCCTGACTCCTCAAAGAGGCAAGGTGGTGTCATAGTCAGTGCTCCTCGTCATTCCTGGAGATGTTCTCTCCCAGGACACAGCAGCTCTGCGCTGAGTCTGAGAGTGCAGGCGATTCTCCTCAGGAACACATCTGGGCTCAGGTGACACAAAGGCGATTGCAATCGTAGCTGCTTTCCCTCCACCCCTTTGCATAGTTGAGGCAGTACAGGGAGCACTAGGGAAGTAGGTCAGTTCCCCCCAATGTGGCACTATGCTCCTTCAGCTGCCTTGAAGAGGATGGTGAGCAGAAGTGTTGGGGACCACAGGAAGCTAGGTAGACTCAATGTCATGAAATTAGCCAGTGTCCGATAAGGACATGAGCCATTTCCACACTGCAGGCTGCCCCCTGCCCCTGACTTCGTACCTCAAGTAGGACAAGGTTCTAGATCTGCACACACAACTAAACACTCATGAGTATCTGCTTTCAAGGCCAGGTGAGGGGGAAATGAGTGGTCATCAATCCCAAGCTGCATGGAAGGGCTTTGTGAGCACTTGATGGGTGAGCATCCTCTCCCTCCCTCATCTCTGTGCCAGACTCCAGGTGGCTCATTGGGATCCTAGGGAAAAAAAAACCACAGGGAAACTTTGGACCCAGAGAAGCAGTTAATCCAGGCACACAGCAGGGAGTACAATCAAAGAATGAGTCCAGTTCTCATGAACCTATTTCATTTTTCAACAAGGTAAGACTGTTTGCTGTTCTGTCCATTGGCCAGTAGGGCTGAGGGTTTCTTGGCAGCACTTGGGAGGTCTTGTTATCTGCTCTTTCTGCTGTTGCAGGAAGTCCTGGCATGTGCAGGTGGAAAGGCTTATGGCAACATACTCTCCTCCCAGAGTTTGTTTGTTTGGTCCTGGGCCTGTTTGAACTCTGGGCCTGGACACTGTCCCTGAGCTTTTCAGCTCAAGGTGAGTACTCTACCTCTTAAGCCACAGCACCATGTCTGGTTTTCTGGTGGCTAATTGGAGATAAGAGTCTTATGGACTTTCCTGCCTAGGCTGGCTTTGAACAGTGAGCCTCAGGTGAGTCTCCTGAGTAGCTAGGATTACAGGTGTGAGCCGCCACCACCGCCCGGCTTCCTCCCAGAGTTTTTTTCAGAAGGAAGTAGACAAGGCTGGCAAACATTGATGTCAATTGCATATCAAGATTGATGCCCATGATACCTAACAAGTACACACTGAAACTGGACACCAACTCTGCTTTCTACATTAGCAGACTGAGTTTTATAACACTAAGTGACCGTCTTTTGCTTCATCGGGAGCTTGACTCCTATGTAGTTCTAAGATGTGTCAAGAAGAGAAGATTGAGTGTTGGCCTACCATTGTTCAGAATCCATTTCACTTTTTGGTTTGATGTGTGTGTGTGTGTAGTTGGTTTTTTAAAAGTTTTTTCCTCGATTTCATTGCTACCTTCAACTAGTTTTACAAATGGGTTGTAATTTAGCATGTCTATTTCCATACACAGTGTATCTTCATCGGAGCCAGCCTTGTTTCTCCCCCACCTGACTCTTCAAGCTTCCCCGTTCCATTTTCACATATGTGCATTGAGCCTTATGGCTGTATTTGCCCACCATTCCTCTTTCCATTCATCTGCCCCCACCTCTTTTAGGTCCCTCTCTCCCTCAGTCAGGACATATTTCATTTTCTAACCCTGTGCAAACACTCATGCCTCTGAAGCTGAGGCTCATTCCAGATTTTTCACTTACTGTAAGGTTTTCATCATTCCAGGGGTGGCATCCCTACCCCTCCAAAAGTGCCAAAGAGTCTATATTGCTGGTATTTTAGCAGAAGAATAGATGTCAGGCTTTAGAAGTTCTGTCAGCCACAGGTCAATGGGGTTTCAAAGAGGAAACTGAGGCACCACACTAGCCCCACCCTCTCAGAGCATGCATCAGAAACCTGATTACAGCTAAGGGGCACAATGATCCCCAAGGAGGAGGCATGGGGTGATTCAGATTTTTTTTTTTTTGTCAGTTGTGGGTCTTGAACTCTGGGCCTGGGCACTGTCCCTGAGCTCTTCAGCTCAAGCTGAGTGCTCTACCAATTGAGCCACAGTGCCACTTCCGGTTTTCTGGTGGTTAATTGGAGATAAGAGTCTCATGGACTTCCCTACCTGGGCTGGCTTTGAACTGCTATCCTCAGATCTCCACCTCTTGAATAGCTAGGATTACAGGCATAAGTCACCAGCGCCCACCTTCAGATGTTTTTTTTATGAGTAAACTACCTTGAAAGTCCATTCCATGTTGAAGCATGGAATCTGTGTTTGTTAGAAAGGAGAGGAAATTTGTAGAGCACTCACCTTGAGCTGAAGAGCTAAGGAACAGCGCGTAAGCCCAGAGTTCAAGCCCCACAACCAACCAAAAAAAAAAAAAAGAAAGAAAGAAAGAAAAGAAAGGAGGGAAATTTATAAATAGACATATTTTCTGTTTCAAGTGCACATAAAAACAAACCATGCTGCTTTGAGTCAAAGAAGGTATGTTCTCTGTTTTAAACATTGCCCATCTATGGTTGACTGATGGACATGGAGGCAGGATGAAAGTGAGAAAGAGCAGTCCGCTCCTCCTTTTTTTTTTTGTCTGAAGCAATGGAATTGCAAATGGCACAACTCCATTAAAGATTATCTGAAGACTTTCCATATTCTCACCAACCATATAACTTTTGCAACTAACAGAAACCCTAGGAGATTTATGGTTATCTTGCTTCAAAATGGTAGTTTTTTGTTA